GGAGAGGTCAGGGGGGAAAAAGGAGACAGGTAAAACTTTCAACAATAAATAATTAAATATATACATATATATTTTAAAAAGAAAGACTGCAGGCTACAGAAAATAAATTAAGAACAATTTAAAAACAAAAACAAAAAACCCAACAGCAGCACGAACCCCATCCTGCAGCCGAGGGGCGACCAGCGCCCCCTGGCGGCGCGCTCCAGAGCCAGCGCCCACCGAGTCCACAGTCGCTCACGGAGCGTATTAGGGGGGCCTTGCCTTTCGTTTCTTTGTAAAAACTGGAGTGACTGCCAACACGCATCCGCGCGGTGCGTTCCGCGGCGGGACAAACCCGCTGCAACCAGACGAGGACAGCGAGACCTTTCCCGCCGGGAGCGATCCTTTCCAAACCAAGCAGCGCTTTCTGCCTGTCAGCCGCTCCGCGCCCTCAGCGGCAGCTGCTTCCAACGACACCGGCCCGTCTCCAGGGGAGCCGCCCCCGCACCGCGGGCTCAGCTGCAAAGACTTCAACAGACCGGCTGCCCACGTGCCCAGGAGTTCCCAGGGGGGTGGGAACGGGTGGAGAGGCACCGCCTGTGCACAGGTGTGAGTGTGTGTGCGCGCGCGCGTGTGAGTGTGAGTGTGATCTCTACGTCCGGCTGAGAGGCATGTGACAAACAGTACCTTGCAGGAAGCTCCCCACCTGCCGGGGTCTGGGCACTGTCACTCAGGCCCCGCGGGGGTGGGTGGGGGTTACCGCGTCGGCAGGGGCCGCCCGGTCCATCCCCCGCGGCGGCAGGAACTCGGTTCTTTCCTAACTGCCTCCAGGACACGGGCTGCGGGTGGCAACTTGACCGTTTCCAGCAACTTTTCACTGAGGTCTGAGCCGCATGTCGGCTCTTCCTCACGCAAGTTCAGTTATTTCAAAATGGGGGAGGGGGTGCAGACAAGAAGAGACGCGGAAGCTGGTGCTAGGAGCCCCGAGTTCCTGGCCGGGAAGGCGCCCGCGACCCTCCAGGTGGCACCTCCGCACCCGG